GTTAGATGATTTTTGACAAGAGTGCTAAGCTCATTCAATGGGGGAAAAGGACAACTTTAAAAAATAAATCATATTGTATATGTTTAAAGTATACAACATAATGTTAGCATGCCTATACCTATACATGAACATATATATATATATACACACACACACTCTATATATATAAAAAACTAACAGATGAATCATTTCACATAGATATCAATTTCCCCCTGTAGCAAGTGCAGTTATAATCTACTCATTTAGCAAAATTTCTGAATAACATACACCATTATTTGTAGATAGAGGTTTTTTTTGTTTGTTTGTTTGTTTTTTTGCTATAGGGCATGTGCGCTCGCCAGAAAGACAGAGAGTGACAGAAAGAGACAGAAAGCGAGAAATCACCCCCAAGGGAAGATGAAATGGCCACGCTGCAATCTCTTCTCTTCTAGTCTCTCGGGATCTTGGTCATACATGCATATGTGCCCAGAGTGAATTTAAGCCACTGGACCCAGGGCTCGAACCTCAGTCAACGACATGAGAGTTCAGTGACATGGCCATTATGCTGACTGCTGGTCTCAATAATATACACCATTATTAACTATGGTCCTCATGTTCTGCATTAGATCTTTGCACATTCTACGTTTTTGCTTCTTTGTACCCTTTGACGTAAATTTCCTCATTTCCTTCCCCTACACTCCTATTCACAGTAACCAGTATTCTTTTTTTTTTTTTTTTGGAGAGATTTTCACTGTAGGGCGTGTGCGCTCGCCAGACAGACAGAGAGAGACATAGAGACAGAAAGCGAGAAATCACCCCCCAGGGGGGATGGTCACGCCGCAATCCCTTCTCCTCCATTCTCCTCTCGGGATCTTGGGCATGCACGCACACGCGCCCGGCGTGAGTTTTAAGCCACCGGGTCGGGGACACGAACCACGGTCGACTACGTGGGAGTCCAGCGACATAGCCATTATGCTAACTGCTGGTTCCCAGTAACCAGTATTCTTTATCTTGGTATATTTGACTTTTTCTTTTTATATTTTGCATATCATTTAGATAGTCTTTCTGTGTTTGACTTCTCTTAGCAGAACTTCTCTGTGTTTCATCCATGTTGTGGCAAGTGGCAAGATCTCCTTCTTTATAAAGGATATATATACACACACACACACACACACACACACATATGTGTGTATATATTGGTGTGTATGTATATATGTATATATTTGTATACATATATACAAATATAGGTTGTTTCTATAGTTTGGCTATTGTGAATAATGTCACAAGGAATATGGAAGTGCAGATATCTATGAGGTGATTTCATTTACTTTGAGCATATGTCCAGAAGAGAGATTATTGAGAAACATGGTAAGTAGTTTTAATTTCTTTTAAGATCCTCTATACTATATTCCCTAATAACTTCACATTCCTACTAACAGTGGATAATGATTCCCTTTTTCTCACATTCTTGCCAACATTTGTTATATCTTGTCTTTTCGATGGTGATTATCTTAATATGTGTGAGATGCTATCTCAAAGTGGTTTGATTTGCAATCCCCTAGTTATTAGAGAGGTTGAACAGTTTTCATACACTTGTTGGCTAGTTTTATATCTTGTTTAGAAAGTGTTTATTCAAAGTCTTTGCTCATTTTAAAATTGACTTATATTGGGGCTGGGAGGTGGTGTGATGGTTAGGGCACTAGACTCCCGCATGGCTGACTGCGGTTCAAATCCCAGAACTGTTGGTTCACTTTCTCACTTTACCTTTCTCTCTCTGGTCAAATTAAAAAATAATAATAACAAGTAAAATAAAATAAATAATTCTTTAAAAAGAAAAAAAACAAATTGACATATGTTTTCTTGTTGTTGAATTTCATGAGTTCCTTATAAATTTTGAATATATATAGCCCTTTTTCAGGTATATTGTTTGCAGATATTTTTTTCCCAGTCTGAAGGCTGACTTTTCATCTTGTTTACTGTTTTTTTTGCAGTGCATAAGCTTTTTAGTTTAATTATTTACGATTGCTTTTGAAGCCCAAGCTTTTGGTTTGAGGACAATTTCCCCAATAAATGTTGTTAGAAAAACTGGGTAACCAAAAAGAATGCAAAAGAATGCAGTTAAAGTTGAACAATTACACCATATATAAAAATCAACTCACAATGGATCAAAGACATGAACCTAAGAGCTAAAACTATTAAACTTTAAAAAAAAGTAAGAAAAAGCTAAATGACATTGAATATGACAATGATTTCTTGAATGTTACACTAAAAGCAAAAATTAACAAATGAACTACATCAAAATTAAAAACTTCTGTGCATGAAGGAATACAATCAATACAATCAATCGAGTGAAAAGGTAACATATAGAATGGGAGAAAATATTTTCAAATAACCTATCTGGTAATAGGAATACATAAAGAACTCTTACAAACTCAAGAACAAACAAATAAAAATAATCAAACGATCTGATTTTTAAAAAGGACAAAGGTGAGCTAGGCAGTTGCATGGTAATTAAGACAGCTAAATCCCACATGTCTGACTGTGAGGTTCAATTCTCAGTCCTGGTGGCTTTAAAAATATGCCAGGCATGTGTGACTGCATGCCCAAAATCTCAGCAAGAGTAATGGAGAAGGAATAGTGGCATAACCATACCCTCTACAGGGTGATTTCTCACTGTTTATCTTTCTCTGTCTCTTTCTGGTGAGTGCACATGCCCTTTGGCAAAAACAAGCAAACAAACAAAACCAACCAGCCAATCAAACAAAGAAATAGACTTGAATAGACACTATCCAAAGAATATATACAAATGACAAATAAACAAATGAAATAATGTTCAACATCAATAATCATTAGAGAAATGCAAATCAAAACCACAATAAGATACTACCTCACACTCATTGGGCTGGCTAATATTAAACAAAGCAGAACAGAAAATAACAAACATTGATAAAGATGTGGAGAATTTGTGATTTTTAAAGAATTGTTTATTTAATTTTATTTATTATCATCATTATTTTTCAAATTTGCTATAGGGTACATGTGCTCACCAGAGAGAGATGAAAAAGAGAGAGAGAAGAGAAGAGAGAAAATGAGAAAGCAAGCTGCCAGGTCTGGGACTCAAACTGCAGTTAGTTATGCGGGAGTCCAGTGCCTCAACACCATGCCACTTGCTGGCCCCATAGATGTGGAGAATTTGAACCCTTGTTCACTATTGGTGGAAATATAAGCTAGTGCAACTGCTATAAAAACAGTATCATGATTCCTCCCCAAATTAAAAATATAATTAAATATGATCCAGCAATTCCACTTCTGGGTGCACATGAAGAAAAAATTGAAAGCAGAATCTTGAAGAGACATATGTATACACACATTTGTAGTAGAATATTTCACTATGGCCAAAGGTAGAAGCAATGATAGCCAATGGTAGTGTCCATTAATGGATCAATGAATAACAAAAAGTGATATATACATAAAATGAATATTATTTAGTTTGAAATGAGAATAAAATTCTGATACATGTTGTGGTATGGGTGAATCTTGAAGACATGCTCAGTGAAATATGTCAGTTATACATAAACATATGAAATATGAAATAGGTCAGTTATAAATAATCTCCCTTATATTAGGTACCTACAGCAGACAAATTCACAGAAACAGAAATATATGGGTGGTTTTCAGGGATCAGAGGGAAGAGATAATGGGAATTGATGTTCAAGGGGTATAGAATTTCAGTTTTACAAGAAGAAAAGTGTTATGGAGGTTGATTGCCTAACAGTGTGACTGTATTTAACATTACCGAATTGTACTTAAAAATGACTAAGATAATACATTTTATGTGTTGTGTATTGTATGATAATTATACATAAATTAAATAGAAAGAATGGGGACCAGCAGTTGGCGTAATGGCTATGTCACTGGACTCCCACGTAGTCGACTGCAGTTTGAGTCACGGACCCAGTGGCTTAAACTCACTCCAGGTGCGTGTGTGTGTGTGCCCAAGATCCCAAGTGGAGAATGGAGGAGAAGGGATTGTGGCATGGCCACCTCCCCTGGGGGATGATTTCTTGCTTTCTCTCTCTCTGTCTCTGTCTTTGGTGAGCGCATGTGCCCTATAGGAAAAACCTCTCAAAAAAAAAAAAAGAATGAAAAATTGTTAATATTGTAAACATATAAAGTAAGGTGAGAAAAAAGCAGGATGAGAAAATCATTTGCAGAGTATTTTCTCAAATCTGTAATAAAAATGGAGAACTAGAAATAAAGACTTTAAGGAAATACACCAAAAGTTTGACATGAGGGGAATTATTTGTGATCTTTTATTATTATTATTATTTTAATTAATTATTTATTTATTTCCATTTGTTATTGTTTTTTTCCCTTTATTTGATGAGAGAGAGAGAGAGAGAGAGAGAGAGAGAGAGAAAGGGAAAGTGAGAAAGCAAACCACCAGGTCCAGGACTTGAACCATGGTTGGCCATGTGGGAATCCAGCGCCCTTATCCACCACAACACCTGCTGGCCCCGATCTTTTATTATTTTTAAAATTTTTCTGTACTTTCTAAATTTTAGCAGTAAATATGTATTTCTTTTACCGCAAAGGGAAATATAGTATTAAAACCTTACTTAAAATAATTTTCTTCTTCATGTTTATTGTTCCTAACAGCTAGAATGTGATTAGAGTTTTCATAAGATTGTAACTGGAAGATTAAAATTTGCTTACAGGCCAAGATCTAAGAAAAAAAATTTCCTTCCAAATAGAAATTTTAGTTCTCATATATCACTAAATCTGAGTTCCTTGAATAATTCTTTAGTCTCTGACAGACATCCAAGCATCAATCTCTTAGGCAGTTTTGTAACTCTGGAAAAAGGGGAAAAAAATGAACCCCATTTAAAAGTCTCAATAATGAGCTGTGTTTTTATTAGTGAGGGAGTGCTGAAGTCTGCACTGATAGATAAGTCAATTGAATAGGAGAAGAAGGAGTGGAAGAAATATCTTTTCGATGAGAACAACAAAAAATTGTCTACCTGAGGTATCTGATGGCAATTAAGGCTTTCCACCGAATAGGGCTAGCTAAGGAATCCAAAGGCTCATTCCTAATAAAATCCTGCAACACAAACAAGGAGATGAAATATTCAGAACTTGGGGAGTTCCCAGATACAGCTGCAACCTTGTTAGATCCATGGGTGTCCTGGGTCAGAAATATGGCAGAGATCTGTTATGTGGCACTTGTGAACGTTAGAGCTCTGCACTCTTGGTAATGGAATATTCAGGGCTCTTCTCATTCTCTCTCTGCACACTCACCAGCATGTAACCGATCAGCATCTCCTTATAGACAAACTGAAACTGGTGATCCTCAGCATCTTGGACAGCAATGCCAATCTCAGTGATGCTTCTTGTAAAACTCATTTGCAGATCCATATCCTAAAGAAAAAATGATTAAGAGCACAAGCCAGAATCTTTAGGCACCACACCTGGGTCTACAAGTATGTGATCTAGAATTAAAATATATATTGAGACAAGAGCACAGAATTTTTGCTCCCTTTGCCATTTCTACCCGAGCCTGGGATCTACCTGCAAGAAACTTGAGAAACAAATGTCAGTCTCTCTTCATACCTCCCGTTAGAGACTGAAGTTTTTCTAGAGCAGAAGCTTTCAAACTTTTTTGACCATTAACTACAGAAGGAAATAGTGTACAATCCCATTCACTATTTACATGTACAAAATAAATATAATGCATAACTTAAACAAAAGTTTATTAATACTTTCAATTGCTATATGCAATGTACTCTTCTAATTTCTCTTTCATTTTATTTTATTTAAAAATGTGTTTTTGGTATTTATAACCATTTTCTATGTTTCTATATCTTCTAGTCATTCAGTTTAGACTATAGAGTGTGGACACTCAGTATATATTAAGTGGAGACATACAATGTCTCTCCTTCATATATGTGATTGAATGTATAAAAGAAATTGAAACAAAAATATATTAAAAATGTGGTTTTGATCTCTTAAATTGCTTTCATGATCCACTGGTGGGTTTTCAAACCCACAGTTTGAAAACCACTTCTCTAGTTTATGACCCAATGTCTAAACCATCTAGAAGCAGAATACAACTTTTTGTTCTGTCTTCAATTAGGTTCACAAATCTTGACTTTGGAATTTGTTAATTAGTTAGATGTTGGGATCATTTCAGCTGGAATCAAATAAAGAGGAAATCTGTTTTGCACACTTCAAGGTAGTATGGTTTGTATTCTATCTATCCATTCATTCATTTATCTATCTGTTTCATACCTTGTTCACCACTGACATGCCCAGAACCTGAAAAATCAAAGGTGAAAGTAGATACTCAGTTAGTAGCGGCCCGAAACACAACTAGCCCAACAAAAGGCCCTACCCATCAAACTGAAGTTCAACAGTGTAGCAAGATGTGGAGTCATATGAAGGGAAGAAAAGTGTTCACTTTCTTTCCTCATTTTTAAAGAGAGAACTTACACAAGCAGATTCTTTTCCCACAGGTGAGTATGAATGAGTTCCAGAGGGCAAGACTTTAAGCCTTTGGGTTTTCAGGTTTCACAATAGTTTTTTTTTAAAAAAAACTCATGGAATTTGGGAAGGAGGGAAGATAAATTGTCTTTGGAAAAAGAACAATGGTAAGTTGTAGAATGAAAAGGCATAGTGACTATCTGGAATTGAAGTTTTTGTCAGTTTGGCTATAATGCTTATGTTGAAAATACGAATTTGTTCAAATGAAATTGATATATTAAGGAATACTTTAATGTGTTCTGAATTTTGTGTTTTTCTATGAACAGTTTAGTCTGTGAGATAGAAGGTTCATAGTTGAACTGAGTCATGTAGGATACTCAAAGTAACACCCCAAACATCCACCAGCTACCTCAACATACTGGGTGTTATGAGCCACTCCCACCCAAATCTAGTATCACGCCTGCGTGTGGATTTAAGATAACCTTTCTTCCCCTCAGTGGTTTATAATATCTAACAACTTTGACACTAGACTTCAAGGTATTGTGTTAATTTTTAGGTAGTATTTCTGTATTTTAAGTATTTGTGTTAAAATAGGTAATTTGGGAAAGAATGAAGAAGTAAGACATTTGTGGGACACAGATATGGTGTGTTGCCTGTTGATGATGTTGTGTTCAGTATTATAAACTCACCTGGTGTGTGGTGTATATCATGTTGGGTAAAATCTCTTTACAATCTAAATGATTATAGCGATTGAATGTTTAAATAGTAATAAATAATTATAATAAAAATTTAAAAAGTATAACCCTTTAAAAAATAGGTTCCTATCTTCTTAAAAAATGTGTCAGTGATGAAAGTTTTTGTGTTGCTCTCTAAACATATTTCCCCACAATCCTTCTGCTCTTTCTGGTACTATCTTGTTCATATGTTGTATTATCACAGAACTGTGTACCCTAAAAGTGTATAGTAATATTTGTCTTAATCATATTATTCATTATCTTCCTCTTTTATTTTTGCCATCAATGGCTTCAATGAAGGTAACAAAACATATCTTTTAAATTTTTTTTTAAAAAATATTAGAATTATTTATTTAACTTTATTTATTTATTTATTTTAATTTGGCCAGAGAGCAACAGAATGAGAGAGTGTGTGTGTGAGAGAGAGAAAGTCACCAGGTCTGGGACTCGAATCATGGTCAGCCATGTGAAAGTCTAGTTTCCTTAACTACCACACCACCTACCAGCCCCCAGAGTAACTTTTATTATATTTTCAATTCCTATCATTGCATATTAGGACCTGGGGGAGTGAGAATCAGCTTCTGAGGAGTGTAGAAAATACAGATTCAGTGATCTAGCCCTGAAGACCGATTCATTAGGCATCTCTACTTTTAACACGTTCTCCAGATAATTCCCATGCAATTAGAGGATAGCTGCCCTGTGCCCTTCTACTGGTATATAAGGACAGCTAAAATTTTTTGAGCTCCCCATGAGTCTTTTCTTATCACATCCACATATAAATAGATGTCAACAGCACATGTGAATCAAACACATGGTGTATGAAGACACAGAAGAGGAGATAAAGAATCATTAGTTACAGTCCCTAATATCATGGTGCTGACAATATAAAGGGAGAGGTCGATGTGCACGCAGTCAATGAAAACTCACCACGCCTGTCTGTAAATAAGCTTCATTTGTAAAGCTCTCAAGCACACAGATTTCCAGACTCTTCCCCAAACCTACTGAATAAACCTCTCTGAAAAACAAAGCTATGTTTTTTTTTTTTTTTTAGAGATTTTTACTGTAGGGCGCGTGCGCTCACCAGACAGACAGAGAGAGACATAGAGACAGAAAGCGAGAAATCAACCCCCAGGGGGGATGGTCACGCCGCAATCCCTTCTCCTCCATTCTCCTCTCGGGATCTTGGGCACGCACGCACACGCGCCCGGCGTGAGTTTTAAGCCACCGGGTCCGGGACACGAACCGCGGTCGACTACGTGGGAGTCCAGCGACATAGCCATTACGCTAACTGCTGGTTCCCAAACAAAGCTATGTTTTAAACTCAATCCTAAAAAATTCTTAGGTGGCCTAGCTGTCACATGCCAGCAAAATGGTTGAATTGACAATATGTATAAAATATGTGTTTTAAAGATACAAAAAAAGTGCTTTGAGGAACAGAAATAATTAGATGAATTTCAACTCATTTTTGTTCAGTGGCTTTGAGGCTGGAAGATGTTTGGCATATCTGAGGAACATAAAAGAGGGGGGAGCTAGGATGAATGTGGGGATATAGTACAACTTAGCTTGGGAAGCTTGCTAAATTACATATGTTGTTCAATTGAAACACGTATATGGTAGTAAGGCATTTTTCTAGGTGCTGTATAGATGTTATCAAATAAAAGCTTAAATAATGATCATTAAGTAACACTTCTGAGACTATTACAAGCAAGCAAAGCAGTAAGCCCATTGCCCTAAAGTAGCATAAGAATAATTGTTTTAAATTCAAGCAAGAATGAGATCACTATGGATGCAATTGATATGGAGTGGTAGGACATGAACTGCCCAAGGCCTTAGAAAAGAAACAAAAATTACCTAGCCCTACAACATCATGATTTTTCAGTTTCCATATGTTATCATTTCCTAGACATGTCAGATTCTAGCTTTCATTTTCTTTTTCAATTTGCCAGACAGACGGAGAGAGGGAGGAAAAGGGACAAAGCAGCCCCCAATAGGGTATGGTCACACAACAATTCCTTCTCCTCCACTTTGGGGCACACAAGCAAATGTACTAGGCATGTTTCTCACACTACTGAGTTTGGAACTTGAACTGTATAGTTTGCCATGTGGGATCTGGCTCCCTTAACCACCAAGCCATAGTGATGGCCTGATCTTATCTTTCTTATGGTCTGTATTCTGTGAGCCTAAAGATCCCTAAAGATCCCATCTGTGCATGGACGGGAAATCTCAGTCAGGAAATTAAGATAGCCCTGTGATAGGCATTACCTGAGTGCACTGGCCATAAAGGAAGAGGACTTGGGATACGATGTCTTGATTAAGTCTGGTAAGAAGTTGCATTTTGGGAGCATGGAGGGCCACCGCTCCGTAGATTACCATGACATCCGTCTTGGTCAGGCTCTTTTTCCCAGAAAAAATACCCTGAAGAACAAAGAAAAAAGCCAAGAAAAACATAACCAATGGAACTTGCCTTTTGTCTCATGTTTTTTTCTTATCCTACAAACTACTACAAGTGTTATGAAACTAGATGATTAAAATGAGTCTAAAATTGTTACACTTTGCTGGTCCAAATGTAGAGTCAGGAGGGTATTAGAGGCTTTTGTTAATGATTTACTTATCAGAGCCCTCTCCTTTAGAGGAAGCAGAGTATACGTATTGACAACTGTTCATGAGGCCTACATGACAGGAAGGGGGCAAAACCAGACACACAGAGCTCATCAGGAACCTCTAGGTCAGGACTGATTGACAGGGAAAAAAGGAGTAGTCTCATATAGTTACTCGGCATCCTACAGAGTCCGGGCTGGGACAGTCCAGACTTGGAATAGAGACCAGGTGATAAGAGTATGTATAATATGGAAAAAGAACATTTACTGAGGAAAATCACTATCATTTTTCTTGCAAATGACCAAGAGCTTTGGAGAAGAAGATTATTCTTTTTACCTTACACCGATTCATGAAAAACTTTTCCTGATCTTGGAATGTTTTAAGAACTTTTAAAACAATATCCAAGTGGTTCTCAGCACAGTATCCTAAAATAGATGTTATTCCCTAAAATCAGAAAAGGCATGAGATTTTGAGTTTATTTATTTATTCAACACTTGCAGAGCACCCATTACATACAAGGCACCCTTCTAGGTACTAAGGATACAGCAGTGAACAGAACACACCACACCAAACTCCTCACCCTCGTGAGGTATACTGAAAGGGAAGCAACAGGAAAGTAAGATAAGGAAACACATAAATTCAGCAACACTGTAGATATGTAGTATGCTAGATGGAGGTAAGTGTTATAGAAGAAAATCACTTTTACCTATGCCCGCCCTGAAACCACTCACTAAGCACTATACTGTTAAGCACCACATAATGCATAATGAGACTTTGGACAACAATAGACCTGCATGTATGATGGTGGTCTCACAAAATCATGATAGGCTATGATATATAGCCTAGGTATGTAGCAGGCTATACCATCTAAGTCTGTGCAAGTACATGATATGATGCTCACACAAGTAGGAAATTGTCTAGTAAAACATTTCTCAAATGTATCCATGCCATTATGTGATGCATAATTATATATGGATAGTATCTTTTAAAATTGTGTGTGTGTATGTATGTGTGTATACATACATACACACACACATATATATGTGTGTGTGTGTATATATATATATATATATATAGAGAGAGAGAGAGAGAGAGAGAGAGAGAGAAGAGAGAGAGAGAGAAAGAGAGAGAAGGAGAGGTTTTGGCTGTAGGGTGTGTGTTACTTCCAGAAGGAGTGAGAAAGCAAGAGAGAGAGAGAGAGAGAGAGAGACAGCGAGAAGGAAAGTGATAATGATTTACTTATCAGAGCCCTCTCCTTTAGAGGAAGCAGAGTATACGTATTGACAACTGTTCATGAGGCCTACATGACAGGAAGGGGGCAAAACCAGACACACAGAGCTCATCAGGAACCTCTAGGTCAGGACTGATTGACAGGGAAAAAAGGAGTAGTCTCATATAGTTACTCGGCATCCTACAGAGTCCGGGCTGGGACAGTCCAGACTTGGAATAGAGACCAGGTGATAAGAGTATGTATAATATGGAAAAAGAACATTTACTGAGGAAAATCACTATCATTTTTCTTGCAAATGACCAAGAGCTTTGGAGAAGAAGATTATTCTTTTTACCTTACACCGATTCATGAAAAACTTTTCCTGATCTTGGAATGTTTTAAGAACTTTTAAAACAATATCCAAGTGGTTCTCAGCACAGTATCCTAAAATAGATGTTATTCCCTAAAATCAGAAAAGGCATGAGATTTTGAGTTTATTTATTTATTCAACACTTGCAGAGCACCCATTACATACAAGGCACCCTTCTAGGTACTAAGGATACAGCAGTGAACAGAACACACCACACCAAACTCCTCACCCTCGTGAGGTATACTGAAAGGGAAGCAACAGGAAAGTAAGATAAGGAAACACATAAATTCAGCAACACTGTAGATATGTAGTATGCTAGATGGAGGTAAGTGTTATAGAAGAAAATCACTTTTACCTATGCCCGCCCTGAAACCACTCACTAAGCACTATACTGTTAAGCACCACATAATGCATAATGAGACTTTGGACAACAATAGACCTGCATGTATGATGGTGGTCTCACAAAATCATGATAGGCTATGATATATAGCCTAGGTATGTAGCAGGCTATACCATCTAAGTCTGTGCAAGTACATGATATGATGCTCACACAAGTAGGAAATTGTCTAGTAAAACATTTCTCAAATGTATCCATGCCATTATGTGATGCATAATTATATATGGATAGTATCTTTTAAAATTGTGTGTGTGTATGTATGTGTGTATACATACATACACACACACATATATATGTGTGTGTGTGTATATATATATATATATATATATAGAGAGAGAGAGAGAGAGAGAGAGAAGAGAGAGAGAGAGAAAGAGAGAGAAGGAGAGGTTTTGGCTGTAGGGTGTGTGTTACTTCCAGAAGGAGTGAGAAAGCAAGAGAGAGAGAGAGAGAGAGAGAGACAGCGAGAAGGAAAGTGAGACATCACCCCCACAGTGGAGATGGCCATGCTGCAGTTGTTTCTCCTCCATTTTCTTCCTGGGATCTTGGGCATGCATGCACATGTTCCTGGTGAGCTTTTCAAGCTACCAGGTCTAGGACTCAAACTGGGATCGACCATGTGGGAGTCCAGTGATGCAACCACTACACTATCTGCTGAGCCTTGGATAAGACCTTTGAGATGGGATCTATTTGTCCCAAATTTTACTTTGGAAGAAACTAAGCAGTAAATTGGGGGTGGGGGGGAGTCTTCAAAAAAATTCATGAAAAGGAAAAGCTTTCTAGTCATATTCTCTCTGGATTAAAAACCAATTTTCTATAAGGTTAATTTTAGCTTATGAATTATGATTTTGATGTTTGTGATTATGCTCTAAATTATAAAACCAAGGTCAAAAATATATCAAAGAAACTACTGTTAAATAAGAACGCTTAAAATTCATTTTTTAATGTTTTGACAGATTTAGTTTTAAAATGAAGTATTGATATTTAGAGAAGGAAGCCTCATTTTTCTAAAAAATTCTGTTCAATTATTTTGAATGTATTTATGGATATTCTTTTTAAGTAAAACATCATCATAAAAGCTGTCAGGTGTTTTGTGGCAGGATTAATTGTCATCATCATAAGAGGAAATTAAAAAACAGAGGTCTCACCTGCCTTTGATCTCCCAATTGGTTGGGGGCAATTAGAAATTCCTTAATCCGTAAGCTTACAAAGTCTTTATCTTGGCAGGATGCTAAGGTGGTTCCCAGGGCTTTCCAAAGGAATTTCTGGAAAACAAAAGATAAGCAACAGGGTTTTAAAGGTTGGAAAAGCAAAACCCTGGGATCAGCCCTATAGTGCAGAGCTGGGATTCCACATGGCCCTTTGCAGTTTGAGTTCCAGCCCAGGCAGCTTGAAAAATACATTAGGCACATGTGTGTGCATGCCCCCAACACTAATGAGATGGGAAAACGGAGGAGAAGGGATTACAGTGTGACCACACCCCATTGTGGTTACTCTCTCTCTCTGGTTGACTGCACTCACTTTCTAGCAATAAAAAAAGGCAAGACACTGATGAAAAATGAAAAGATTTAAAATAGTTATCTGGGACTAGCAGATGGTGTAATGGTTGTGTCGCTGGACACTCAAGTAGCTGACTGCAATATGAGTCCTGGACACAGCGACTTAAAACTCACGCCGGGCGAGTGTGCATCATGCCCAAAATCCTGAGAGAAGGGAGGAGAAAGGGTTGTGATGCGACCATTCACCTGGGGGTGATTTCTCGCTTTCTGTCTCTCTGTCTCTCTGGTGAGTGCATGAGCCCTATAGCAAAAATCTCCCTCCCCCCAAAAAATAAATAAATAAATGAAATTGTTATCTAGAAGAAAGAAACTGGGATGACTTAGTAACTGCTAAATAACCATGTACCTCAGGTATTATCTAAAACTCTGTCCTCCTCCTGGGACCAGCAGTTAGCATAATGGCTATGTCACTGAACTCTCATGTAGTCGACCGTGGTTTGAGTCCCGGAACTGGTAGCTTAAACTCACGCTGGCACGTGTGTGTGCATGCCCAAGATCCCGAGAGGAGAATGGAGGAGAAGGGATTGGGGCATGGCCATCCCCCCTGGGGGTGATTTCTCGCTTTCTATCTCTCTGTCTCTCTCTTTCTGGCGAGTGCACACGCCCTGTATCAAAAAAAAAAACAAAAACAAACAAAAAACACTTCTGCCCACCTCCTGTAACCTTCTGTACAGTTTTATATTTCTATAGTGTCTCACTATCATAATAACTTTCACCTCATAATATAATTTAAAATTTTCTTATTTATGTCTATGCTCAGAATTTTTGTTCTTCATAGCAGAGGGGCTTTAAATTTTTTATTTATTTTTATTTATTATCATTATTATTCTAAAATTTTCTAAATTTTCTCTTGGGGATGGGCATTCACCAGAGAGAGAACGAGAAAATGAGAAGGCACGCCATCAGGTCCAGGACTTGAACCAAGGACAACCATGTGGTAATCCAACTCCTGAACCACCACAGCATTTGCTGGCCCCTATAACAGAGGGTTTTATTTTACAGTATTATTTCCAAATACAGTTTCTGATACTTAATAAGGGCTTAACAAATGCTCATTAAATAAACATGCTTCATGAAAATAAGGTTATCTTGAAGGTGGCTTTGATTTGTTTTCTAATATTTATATCATTTATAGCTATATAATAGTGGGGTGGCATCTTAAACATGCGAGAGAGAAAACTAATCATTTCCCACTTTAAAGACTCTTCATGGCTTGAGGGACTGCAGCTGTCAAGTGGTCACTCACTATTGATCAGAGAGGCATCTATGGGACAGGAGGAGAGGAAAGGCTAGTAGAAACAGACAAAGTTAAATTAGTATATTCAAGAGAAAATGTGTAGAGCAGTCTGACTTGTGATGCAAAGGGGAATAAGCTGATTAAAATCCAGTGAAGCAGTTGCTCTTATCTCAATGCCTAGAGTTACATTGGCCTCTAGAATCTAACTAGCACCCACTCCACTCTTGGTTGTCTGGATGTCTGGATGGATGGCTCCCATAATTATAATGGAAAAAAAAACTGTGATAGCACAGAAGTAAATATTAAATAGGGTCTGTTTAACTCTGCTCTGGGAGAAGGACTGGGAAGGGTCTGGAAAGGTCTTATGCTGCAGAAAGAAATGAATGCCATCAAGGGGAAGCTCTGTCCCAGTACCTCTTAGTTCTTCTGACCTGCTATTTCAGTGTATAGTATATTCCTGCTTTGGAATTTGGCACAGAATCCAAGAAATTAAGAACCCTAACACCAGGAGAAAAAGCAGCAGCATACAAAAATAGCCACAACTTTTGCATTCCCACCTCTAGTCATGTCTCCTCACTATGAATTTTGTGGCTCCTTCTATAAATAAAGGAGTTTGTTTTTCCAGTCCTTAGGTTTAGATAGGTCTTGTGATTTTTCTTTGGCCCATAGAATGTGACGAAAATGACAGTGTGCCAATTCTGAGCCTCTGTTTCAAGAGATCTTGCATACTTCGTGGCTACCGACATGGGAGTAAACCTGGTTAGCCTGGTGGAGGATGAGCTGTCTCAAGGAATAGAAATAAGCTGTCTTAAAATGGATGTTAAAGAGACTAGCAGACGACATAATGGTTATGTCACTGGACTCCCATGTAGTTGGACTGTGGTTTGGGTCCCAGACCTGGCGACTTAAAACTTATGCCAGTGTGTGTGTGTGTGTGTGTGTGTGTGTGTGTGTGTGTGCATGCCCAAAATCCTGAGAGGAGAATGGAACAGAAGGGATTGTGGCATGGCCATCCCCCACTTGGGGAGTGATTTCTTGCTTTCTGTCTCTGCTTCTCTCTGTTTTTCTGGTGAGTGCACGTGCTTTATAGCAAAAGTATTTCCTAAAAAAAGATATTATAGAATAGTCGGCCTCCAGGACACCTTGTGAGCCTTTGTGGGATCAGAAGACCACCCTATTGAGTCTGACCCTAACTGTCAAATTGAAAAATAGTGCACTGAACAGGTGGCTGTTGTTTTAGGGATAGTTTGTCATGCAGCAAAAGTGAATTGGTACATTCTTACTTTTTTCATGTTCAATGTAAGGCTAATATCTAGGTGGCTCATTGTTTAAAATGGTCTGCCTACCTTCACCACCATATCCTACATATTCTTGTGGATCTGGAGGCTGTTGGATGAATGGTATGATATGAGGTGCTGAGAGTTGAGAAGATGAGGCATTGCTCACCGAATACTCCTCACATTTGTCTCCAGGCTTGGCAGACAAATTTGGAGAATCAGTACTCCACCAAATTAGTCAGTCAGGTGGGGGAATTTGGGATAGTTAAGGTTGATAATGAATCGTTTGTGGGAAGAAACACTTAATATTGGAACTATTGAAACTTAGTATTTTTCCATAAAAATAAACTCATGAATGATATTAAGGTAATATGGCCATGATCAAAGTTACTTTTATAGTGAGTATGTGTCTGTGCCGGACACTTCACTAGGAACTTTATATATTTTATATCACTGGACCCTTATACTTCTATGACCCTCAGTGGTGGGTATCATTTCTATTTTGTTTTTTCACATAATGAGGTTTTAGAAAGGCGAAATAGCTTGCTTAAGGCTATATTCCTAGCAAGCAACAACAACTAAAAAATGCACTTAAATCTTATTTGGAATGGCTGGCTACAAATTAGAGGATTAGGCTGAGGCTATTTGGAGGCAGAGAGATGGAAAAACTGGCTTTTGAGTATCATTTTAGTCTTACACTTTTGTAAAATTGTAGTAGATTATTTCTGCTAGCCAGTCTTCACCAGACAGACATAACATAAACTGAGACATAACTGATGTTAAACTAGTGCTGCGGCAGAGACTGCTACTGTCTCCTGGTATCCATTGCTTTTCCGACTCTCGAAAGAACCCCTGAACTTTTTTTTTTTTTTTTTTTAAGAGGTATTGCTATGGGGTGCGTGCAGCGTGCGGTCGCCAGAAAGACAGAGAGAGAGAAAGTGAGAAATAACCCCCCTAGGGAGGATGGCCACACCACAATCTCTTCTACATTCTCTTCTAGGGATCTTGCACACAGAACTAGCATGAGTTTAAGCCACTGGATCCAGGACTTGAACTACGATAAACTGCATGGGAGTCCAGCAACATAACCATTAAGCCAACTGTTCATCCCAGGAACCCCTGAATTTTATTCAGGCACAGTTCTTTTTAAAAATAATTCTTTTTTGGGAACCAGCAGTTAGCGTAATGGCTATGTCGCTGAACTCCCACGCAGTCGACTGCGGTTCGTGTCCCGGACCCAGTGGCTTAAAACTCACGCCAGGCGCGTGTGCGAGCGTGCCCAAGATCCCGAGAGGAGAATGGAGGAGAAGGGATTGCGGCGTGACCATCCCCCCTGGGGGGTGATTTCTCGCTTTCTGTCTCTATGTCTCTCTCTGTCTGTCTGGCGAGCGCAAGCGCCCTACAGTGAAAATCTCTCCAAAAAAAAAAAAATTCTTTTTTTAAGTTTTTGCCATAGGGGCTCATGTACCCACCAGAGAGAAAGAAAGAGACAAAGAGAGGGAAAAAAAGAAATCACCCACCAGGGCAGATGGCCACACTGTGATACCTTCTCCTCCTCTCTTCTCATCTCAGGATTTTGGGCATGCACACACATATGCCTGCTGTGTTTCAAACTGCTGGGTCTGGGACTCGAACCATGGTCAACTACATGGGAGTTCAGCGGTATAACCAGTAGGCCAATTGTTGGTTCCACATGGTGTGATTTTCCAGCTGCCAGGTCTGGACTCCTAACTGTGATTAGCTACGTGAGAATATAGTGCCTTAACCACCATGCCAACCTGCTGGTCCTGATACATATTTATCTTGTAGACATTATTCCTTCCAGACTTTCTTGAAGATAGGTGTGACCATCTGAATAAGTATTATCCAAATGTAGAGTGAAGAGAACATAGTAATCAACTTTCAGGAAAGAACTCCTTTTTTTTTCACTGTTCCCACTTCCTTTTGGTTGTAGTACACACAATAGGGACCCTGAGCAGCCATTCTGGATCATAGGGTAGAATCTGAGTTTCCCCCTTAGCTGAAAAACCAACCTTCTCAGTAGAGGTATTGCTGTAACTGCCCATTTGATGACTGAAATCCCGACTCAGTTGAATGGTCCAGGCCGTGTCACTGATCTTCCATAAGGATTCTTTGAGCAACTGTTACCGAAAGTGGAAGTTAGATATAAATATGTCTGCTTAATGTGCTTTCTTCATACTTTTTTCTGACCTTATCTTTTTAAAGTACAAATATTTAGTAAGTGAGATTATTTCTTTTCCTACAAAATACCTGGTTTCTTTGGAACATTTCTTCTTAGTTTATTTCAAAAAACATTTTTTACATTCTGAATTTCCATTAAGAATAAGATTATAGAATGTGGAAATAATTCTGTGTGCCTTTCTTTCTTTTCTCTTAAGTAAAAATTGCTGAAAGATTAAAATAGAAATGAGTCCAATGTGAACCTTAAATGGAAATTAACATTTTCCAAGTGTTGATAGACTTGGAAAAACTCCTTTTGTCAACACCAGCTTGGCTTATATACTAAAAAACAAAACCAAAACCAAACACTAAAAACAACTGAAAAGAAAAAAAAAACAAAAACAAATGAGAGAGGGATCTTAGAAAATAAAGAATTAAATGCCTTGAAGAGTCAGTTGGTGGTTCTGAAATTTCTGGCAATTTTAGCTAAGTATGCCTACTTTCACTAATTTTTCTGAGCCTGATTCACAAACAATCTTCTGAATCTATTTTTTTCTGAATAATACATAAAAAAATATTGTTTTTTTCTTTTTGGAGGACAAAATCTTTTGCAATTTCTAAGCTACATCATTTCCTCTATGATCTCTAAGCTTAGGAAAGGATGCTTCATGTCAAAACTAATGGAAGGATCTGTATGCATTTTCTTAATAGAAGTTCTTTCAGTGGGTCCTTTAAAGAAATTAAGAAGCCTTAAAAGCTTAAGGGAAGAAGCAGTCTGTTTTGGAAAAAGACTAGAAGTACTTCAAGATTGGAAGAGAAAAAGGACCACCTCTCAAGGTTTCCCATTACAGAAAGAAATTTCCTTCCTAGTAAAAACACTTATTTTATAATGGTAGCAAGAGAAAATAAGGTAAGAATTTTGAAAGAGTGAGAAGATAGAAGTATGAATATGGGAGGAAAGGTAGTTCCTAGAACAAAAAGACCCAGAGAGGAGAGCAGTCACTTTGAGATATTGGACAAAAATCAATGGTGGATATTTTAAAACACGTAAGCTCTCAGATACCACCCCAGGGATTCTGATTTTGAAAAGGATAGTGATGGAAGCTGGAAGATGTACTGTGAATAGGATACTGAAAATTCACACAATTAAGAAGCCATAGGTAATTCCTACAGGTGGCTTAAGAACAGAAAGCCTACTATGTTAAAAGTTCCCTGTCCATGGGCTTGTTGACCTTCCACGGGTTCCTGAATTGAAATTTCTGCAAAGCCAATGTTTAATTCCTATTTACAATTTACCATTTCTGGGATTTGGTAATGCCTATAGCACTGTTTAGTTGTCAAAAGTTTAAATAAAGTTTATGGGTAAAAGAGGGGATTCTTTTCTGGAGAGGAATACAATGTGTCCCTTTGGTTTTTAGAAGTCAGGAAACCAGGCAGCAGGCAAATAGAGGAGCAAATGAAGTTGTATTCAGAAGCATAGAAGTTGAATTTACATAATCTGTGTTTTGTTTTTTCATTTGCTTAATTTGCCAGAGAACACTTGTACTCACCAGAGAGAGAGAGACAGAGAAAGAGGAAGAGAGACAAAACAGCTCCCATGGGAAATACTCTCCTCTATCTCTCCTTCAAATTTTTGGGCACACATGCACATATGTCTGGTATGTTTTTCAAACCACTGGATCTAAGATTCCAACTGCATAGTCAGCCATGTGGGATTCAGATCCATTAACCATCAGAACATCAGGCCACCGGTTGGCCCTGATTCTATTTTTTATTTTATTTTTTATGTGAAGAGTACAAGGCCAAAGTTGAAAGGAGAAAAAAAAAACTTGAAAATTAGAGAAGATTTAAGAAAGACAAAGAGAAAAATAATACTAAGTGAAATCCATCTTAAAACTCTTAATCAAATTGAAGACTCAAGATTGTTGTTCAAATTTTAGTCCTTTAAATATCATTATTCTTAAGTGATCATGTCTAACATTTGAATCCATTTCCAAAAAAAGAAAATGTTTACTGCCCTCAGAAATCTAGTATTTTCAGTTAGGATGGGGTTTCACCACCTCATCAACAATTTGTCTAGAGGACACGCTTACCTGAAGCAGCATGGTTTCCCATAGCACGATACTACTGTTCTTTCCTAGAAATAAAAATTGATGGAATAACTGCAAAAAAAATAAACACTCATATTCTCTCTTGCCTGGTCCCCAGTGAATTTCTGGAGTTGTATTTCCAGCTTTCTCCTTGCTAAGGATGGGTGCTCAAGATTAAATGTAGTATGTTGGCGATTAGTCAAATGGAGAGAGGGTCTTTAATTCACGATAAAATCTAGATTTTCTGACAATTTTAGTAGAAATTAATGTAAGGACCATTTTATATTTTAACACAAATGAGTAATGATCTTTAGAGCAATACCAAAAGAGACTTTCTCTGGATATAAGTGAATGGCCAGGGCATATGTAAAAGTTCTAGCTGAGACTGTTATCCTCCAGGTGTTTTTGCAGCATGAATTTTTAGTACAAAATAGAACATAAGAAGTCAAGACAAAAATACAACTTTCTACCTTGCATGTCGAGCTCATTGTGTTTACTAAAATGAACATTAGCAAGAAATGGAGCACTATTTCTTAATGTTTTTTGCTTCCTTTGATAAAAACCTGACCCCACTCTCTTGTACCTTCTAAAGGCTGCAGGAGATCAGGTAAGCGTGTTTTCCATAGGTCTACCAATTTAGGGTGAATTATCTCAGGCAGTATCTTCAGTAGTCCTATTGCACCAGCCCCACATAATTTCCCTAAACTGGCAAGTATAGATATTACCTGAAGAAAGGAAAAGAAAATGCTCATCAATTTCAGGGGCATCTAAAAGGCCAACCTACCCAATTCTTTATATCATGCTTTAAATTCCCTTGATTCATTTATTGGATAATATATTTTTTTCCCCCTCAGAACAAAATCAATTTTACTGGTCTAAAGAATTGATTACAATTAATAAAACAAATTCTTATTTAGAGGTACACCACTAGTGGTCTTTAACAGTCATGTACATTGGATAATCTTTTAATAAATTATCACAGGCTGTTCTTATTTAATTCGAGAGTGAAGCTGATACATAGACAGTCCTCCTACCTATTATTATTATTTTTTAGGATAAAGGTGAAAAATATATGGAAATGAACAAAAGCAAATGAAAAGAACAATACACACACACACACACACACACACACACACGGAAATAGTTCTCTAGTAAATGATACATATGTGGCCAAAGAGAGAGAAGAAATCCAAACAATCAATGTGGAATTTGTTTACTGGTATTTGTGGAACATATTTGGTTTATGCTTACTTTAAAATCATGAAGTTTAACAAGCATTTAAGAATGAAAAATAATCTTACCAGTAATGGATATTTGTGAGGACCATTAGTATAGCAGAAAATTTATTGTCATTTTAGTGTGTCTTTTGGTTTGTAATACTCACGTAATTTTTATTAGCGTTTATTTGGAAATGAATTATCCATGTCAGCTGAAATGTATCCTATATTGGTTCTTTGTAATTCACTCACCAGAAGTCTAGCCAGTAGCTGCTGTGGTGAAGGAAGTTTCACTAGAAAGAGAAAGCAATTTTCATGCTCACTGTTGGGGCTAGAAAAATTCAGACTGAGGCTGGGTATAAGATAAAGCACCGTATCCTTTCTGGGAATCAGTGTCTCTTAATAGAAATGTTTTGCTTTGTTTATGAGTGTACAAACCTGCTCCTGTTGAGATGACAAGTGCTGTTGAGTCCTTGGCATTATGCTTCTTCCTTTCTTCTGCCATAATCAGAATCCTGATAATATTAAACAGGTGTTCCAGAGTTCCCGTATATTCTGCAGGTACTACAAATGTCAGGATTCTTGGCCAAAGCACCTATGGCAAACACAGGGCAAGATGCAGAAATTACGTGTTATTTTCCACTACTCATCCCTGGTTCTCACTGCATGCTTCCCTCTGATTCAGACACTTTTCTTTCATTTGGTATGTTATCACTCTTCAGGCCAACCAAACAAGACATCATTCATTTTTCAGGTGCACGTTGTGGTATGTGTCGGTCAGTGTTTTCCCATGAGATTGTTGCTGGCATTTACGGCAGAACAATTCTTTACTGTGAGAGGTCATCCTAAGCACTCCAGGGAGTCTTGCATCCCCCCAGGGCCCTCTTCACTAAGTGCCAGTATTCCTCTTGTCAGTTTGACAACCAAAAATGCCTCCCATGTGTTCTCCAACTTCAAAATTGAAGTGGGACTGCCCTAGGTAAGAATTATTAGCAGAGGATAGTGAACGGTCTGCTGTTATCCTCTGTCCGTCAGGTTGTCCTCTTCCTGCCCTGCAGGTCTGGGATACCAGTGGCTTCTTTAGTCAATGTGTTTCATATCTCTCGGAAAACTTGGTTATCCTAAAGGAAACCTAAGTTTCATCTTGGACCCTTTCCCTTCCTTATCATCTATGTAAGTATGTAAGCATCAAGATCTGTCCTTTTTTCGTTGTAAGATCTTTCTTGTCCTTCTGTCTTTTGTTCCCTACTATTGTGATATTGCCCTAATTCCCGTGAGCTGTGTCTGAGCCAAGGTATAGTCTCTTTGCCCATAGTCTATCTGTATGTCAATTCACTTATTTCCTACACTTATCAATTTAAATGTTTAGCTCTTGCTTAAAATTTTCATTGGAGTTTGGTATTCCAGGCCCTTTAGAGATTGGCCCTGGATATTTTTCATCATTTACTTCTAGATCCACAATTCTCAAACTTCAATGTGCATCAGAAATATTAGAATGTATTTGATAGCAGACTTGTGGGCCCCATATCCAGACATATTGATTCTGTAGGTGTGGTATATGGTCCGAAAATCGGTATTGTAGATAAGTATCACAGATAACTCAAGAACTACATACCATCCTAGATTATGCTCCTGAGGAACTTAAATGGAATGGTTTGTTGATTGTCTCCTCGTTGTATCATGTATTTCTGGTCACTAAATCCTTTTTACATATTATTTTGTGTAAAGCAATTAAAAATGATAAGACTTTTCCCCTTGATGTTTAGGTTAATTAGGTCTCCAGTGATGCCTGATAATGGGTGCTTTTAACACCTTCTCAGAAGTATAGGGAAAGTTGGGCATTTACTGTTTTAGAGCCACTGCTCACCATTTAACAATATTTCTGAATATATTAGGGGCAGAAAAGAAATAATATCTTAAAGTGTTTATATATAAACTGTCATATAATGTTATATTTCTTTCCATTGCCAATAATAGAAGATACTTCAGTCTGGGTAATATAAGAGAATAGAGATTTATTCAGCTCATGGTTTGAAGCTTGTAGGTCCAGGGGCCACATCTAGTAGGAGCCTTCTGCCTGCATCACAACATGGTGGAAGGCAGAGCTTGAGCAGAATAGAGTGTGTGTCTGATTCTGTCTCCTTATAAAAATCTCACTAGAAGTCAATCATAGGAGCACCCTTTCAGCACCACGAAGATATTAAGTTTCCTCTTAATACTTTTTTTTTTTGAGAGTTTTTTTGCTATAGGGCACGTGTACTCACCAGAAAGAGAGAGACAGAGAGACAGAAAGTGAGAAATCACCCCCCAGGGGGGATGGTCACGCCACAATCCCTTCTCCTCCATTCTCCTCTCAGGATCTTGGGCACACACACACACGTGCCTGACGTGAGTTTAAGCCACCGGGTCCAGGACTCGAACCGTGGTTGACTACGTGGGAGTTCAGCGACATAGCCATTATACTAACTGCTGGTCCCATCCTCTTAATACTTTAACAGTATGACAAAGTTCTACCACAAAAATTCGGGAGGGGGGAATACCCAAAGCATAGCTTGTACTATCCAGATAAGAAAATTCATCCTTATTAATCTATTCATTCAACATTTGTTATATGCTAGACAAAGAGCATCACAATATATTTCCTCTAGTCAGAACATCAAAAAGGTGATGATATATGAAGCACAAACTTGCATCTTTACTCCTAAGTGGGCAGAGCTTTAGGAGTATAAGTGGTAACAAAAGACTACTTACCTGAGGCATACCAATAACCAGTGGGTCCAGGGTTTTTAAGACCTCAAGGCTTGTTTCTTGGACAGATTTCTCTCCTTTTTCATTCTCACTAAAGTTAGTTTTCACTGGTTTCTCCTTTAAGGAAGATGACACAGATGACTTGTTAATAATCCCTATATTGGGCCCTCTGACCTTACTTAGAGGTATTTTTAGCCTCTGAAGTGGAGGATGTAGTCACTTAACTTTAGGAGCTCATGAAACCCAGTAATCTTAGTCTCCAACATCTAATCCCTGTTCAAAAGGGCCTCTTGGAGGAACGATTTAAAAAAACACACTTTTGGCTAAAATAGAAAAGTAAAAATTGTGATGATGCTTAAACTATGGATATTTTCTCTTTCTTTTTTAGCCATTTTTTTTTTTTTCTGGGACAAAAAATAAAACACTGTTTTAAAGCACCGCAACCTAAGTTCTTTAAGTTCAGTAGTAACTAATTTGGTAAGATCACTAAGATGTTATGTGTATATTTTTCAGCCAATTCTTCTAGAAGAAGCTGAACCCTGTTGCTCTGGTGTGAATGTTTTTATCATCCCAAAATTCACTTGTTGAAATCCTAACCCCCAGGGTGACAATATTAGGAGGTATGATGTTCATGAGTTAATTAGGTCCCAAGGGCAGAGCCCTCTTGTTTGGGATTAGTGCCTATGAAAGAAACCCGAGAGCTAGCTATCCCCTTCTACCACATGAGGTCACAGTGAGAAAACATCATTTAAGAAGTAGGAATTCACCATACACTCAATCTTTGACTTTCCAGCCTCCAGAACTGTTAGAAACGAATGTCTATTGTTTATAAGTCACTTCTTTATAGTATTTTGTTATACCAACCTGATAGACTAAGATACCAGTCAAGCAAGTATTGGTGTCTGTCTTTTTCTCTAAAGCAATCCATTCTCTCTGACCCTCTTCAAATCACTTGCATCTTAAGACTTTGGAGATCAGGTTGCCTACTCCTTAGTGAAAACTGTGACTTTACTACTTTGTATTTATTGTAAGTTAAAAGTGATACTAGTGAAAGGGACCTGAGAAAAATAGAGACTAACAAAATTATGAATAAGAGTAATAAGACTAACATATAATTTCAAAATCAATTTTTTGATTAAATTTTTTTTAAACAGTTGAATCAACTATACTTGTTATGGTGCAGCACTCAAAACTGCAGCCTCCAAATAAAAAACCTAATGATAGACTGTGAGGAACTAAAAAAGCAAGAACCAGCTAAGCTCCAAAGTAGTAGAATGAAAAAATAATAAAGATCAGAAGTAAATAAAATTAAAAAAAATTTTTAGTGTGATTTTTGCTATAGAGCATGTGTACTCGCCAGAAAGAGTGAGAAATCATCCTCTGGGGGGATGGGGATCTTGGGCACGTGTGCACATGTGTCTGGCATGAGTTTAAGCCTTAGGTCTGGGACTTGAACCACAGTCGACTACATGGGAGTCCAGTGACATAACCATTACACCAACTGCTGGTCCCAGTAAATTTTAAAAATTAATAAAAGAGAGGGAAAAGTATGAAAAGTTTTTTTGAGAGGAAACAAAACTGACAAACGTTAGCTGGACTCAATTATAAAAAGACTCAAATAAATAAATTCAGAAATAAGAAAGAACCATTACAACTGGTATCACAGGAATGCAAAGATTTTCAGGGACTTACAAGCAATTATGTGTCCACAAGCTAGAAAAGTTAAAGGAGATGGATACATTTTTAGACACACATAGCTAGATTGAGCCAGAAAGAAATAGAAAACCTGAGTAGATTAACAATTAGCTAAGAGATTGAATCAATAATAAAAACATCTCCCAACAAAGAAAAACCCAGGCTTAGATTATTTCACTGCTGAATCTTACGAATCTTTTAAAGAAGAATTAGCATCAATCTTCCTCAAGCTACTCCAATGGATTCAAATAGAGAGAACTCTCTTAAATTCATTTTTTTTTTTGAGGCCATCATTACCCTGCCATGAAAAGCAGATAAGCACACAGCAACGACAACAAAGAAAGAAAGCAAGCTACGGACCTAAATCCTTGTTTAAGATAGATATAAAAATCTTCAACAACATATTAGCAAACCAAATTCAACAGTACATTGAAAACGTTATACAGCATGATCAAATATAATTCATCCCAGGGATGTGAGGATTCTTCAACATTTAAAAATAGATAAATGTGATGCATCACATCAACAGAAGAAAAGATAAAAAACATATGTTCATATCAACTGATGCAGAAAAAGCATTTGACAAGGTACAGCATCCTTTCATAATTAAGACACTCAGTAAAATAGGTATAAATGGTACATGCCTTGGAATACTAAAGATCATATATGACAAACCTACAGCCAACCTCATATTGAATGGGGAAAAGTTTCTTTTCCCTTTAAAAACTGAAACAAGACAAGGGTGTCTACTTTATCCACTCTTACTCAACATAGTACTGAAAATCCTAGCCAATGAAATTAGGCAAGAAAAAAAAAATAAAAGGTATTCAAATTAGAAAGGAATACGTTAACTTGTCCCTGTCTGCAGACAACAGAATTATATCTGTAGAAAAATGACAACAAAATCCACCAAAAAATAAATGACAAATGATTTCAGTGAAGTTGCAGGATGCAAAATCAACATGGGCCAGCAGATTGCATGGCGGTTAAGGTGCTGGATTCTCACATGACTGACAAGGTTCAAGTCATATACATACATATATATATATACACACACACACACACATATACATATATATATATACACACACATACATATACATATTTTCGTACATTTTATATACACACACACACACACACACACACACACACACACACATATATATATAT